GAGAGAGAGAGAGAGAGAGAGAGAGAGAGAGAGAGAGAGAGAGAGAGAGAGATCATACTTGACAGGAGTTGTTTGGCGGACATAGTCGTGACTGTGAACATAACGAACTGCTGGCATAAGACATCAGTTTCCGAACGATTTCTGAAGTTCTCATGTATTGCGCTGTTTGCAATCCCTTGGTGAGCTTTTGTGTGGGGTGAAGAGTGACGTCAATGTGCTTTGACGTGTTGTGTGAATTGCGGGCTTGTTGCACAACCCCTTACAAGGTGTAATTACTTGCAGAAATGAGACAATAGGAGGCCTTGAAAATGGGAGTCTGGGCCCGGCAAACAGCACCAGAGCGGAAGGACATGAACAGGGGCATGAACATACTTGTAGATTTCGCAAATAGTCCGCACAGAATAGCAAACGCATTAAAGACGAGACAACCGACAAGTCCTGTTCACAAGACAAGCACAGAGAAACAGCAGTTTAACATCAACCGCATTACCACCGAGTCGCACATTCCGTACTTCTCACACACAAGCAAATGGGGCATACTCAGAGTGGAACTTCCCTGGGCTGATGGATCTCGCAGCCAAGAAAGTCCGAGTCCGGGTAGGACCTGAGGCTATCTTATATGCTTCTGTTATTTTTCAGGGTAAGTTCAGTTTGCATGTCAAACCAACAAACAAAACCGGGCAAAAGAAATCAAAGAAACCCTATACACACAGTTCGAAACAGAGAAGGGTGGAAAAGAGGCCAGACACACCATACGACACATAATACAAAGACCGACTTCACGAAGAGAAAAAATTGGAAACCAGCAGCCAGGGGAAGGGATAAGGTGGGGAAAATGGGAAGGAAAAGGAAAAACGTGATGGCAAGAGGGGAAAACTGCAGGGGGGGAAAGAAAGGAGAGAGAGAGAGGATAAAGGAAAAACGAAAAAATGTGAAAGGGACATGAGTAAGACATGTTAAATTAGCCTAGGCGGTTTTGTAAGCCGCCAGATTCTCCTAGAGAGGGGGATCCAAACAATAAAAAAAGAAGAAAAACCTTATCAGAAACAAAAGGCATTTTGCAGATGTTAAATACCAATAGCTTACCTGTTGTGGCTCCGCCCGCAAAAAGAGGTGGAAATTGCACAAATAAAAGCAAATCGCACGAGGGGTGTGGTGGTAAGAGTGCAGTTGCAACTGGCCTGTTCTGTACAAAAAACTTTCACATCTAATATCTTGTCAGCGTCTGTCTCTTGAGGCGGAAGAAGTGTTCTCTTTCTGATGTAAAAAAATACTCACTTCTTCGCACTTGCAGGAATGCTTTCCACTTTGTTAGCCATCCACTAAAAAACTACCTGTGTGGGTGTGTGTGCGTGTGTGTATATATGTGTGTGTTTTGTCTGTCGTGTTTGTTGTGTGTGTTGTGTGTGTTGTATGTGTGTGCGTTGTCATATTCAGTATACACTCAAAAAAAGCGTGACTGTGTGTGTGTGCAAAAGTGCGCGCGTAAGTCTCAGATTGGTGGGGTGAGACTGTGGGATTGAGAGTTGCTCGGAGTAGTTAAGGTAAGTCATGTGCAATTGTAGTACGGCCACTGTTTTCAGGAGGTAATATGCGACATCCTATCTGTCTGGCATTTGCCGTCCAATATGGGAAATTATATCATGCATCTGAAGTGGTGTCTTGATGTGAGCCGTAATGTTGGCCATGCCGAAGCGTCTTGGAGGATTCCCTGGAAAACATAACACCAAAAAGAAATGCAGCGGCATGTGTCATTTCGTGGACAGCACAGCGTCATCCCTCCCCCACTTCTCTCTCTCTCTCTCTCTCTCTCTCTCTCTCTCTCTCTCTCTCTCTCTCTCTCTCTCTCTCTCTCTCT